AAGAATTTGTCGATTTATATTTCATGGAAAACGTGAGTGTGGGAGCGAATCAGTGAGTGAGTCCGTGAGTGCGTGAGTGCGTGAGTGAGTGAGAGAGTGAGTGAGTGAGTTAATCCAAGAGACATTTTCTCATCTCCAGATTGAATGAGGCATTGAGGGAGGGAGTGATTAAGTGATTGAGTGAGTGTCTGATTCAGTGTAGTGATGAAAATAGTGCGAGTTTCAATGAACATCTCGTGAAGACTGAGAAGAATGCAGTTGACCTGCAAACCACCAGAGACTTACCGGCGTCATGTTCCTCGTTGTCACCCTCTGAAATCAACACACACAGATATTTGATTACATGCGATTCGCGTCAGTCTTTCTCAAACAAGCAAATACAAATCGAATCATACTGCACTTCATCCTCAACTCCACTACACTGATCAACACATCACCACCATGACAATCTACACAAAAATACACTAACATACACTCTGCATCGCCACAATATACCACGCTGCGCTATACAAAACAAAGAGAAACTGCATTGAAATACACTACTCCACTCCAAAATACACTACACTACACAACACAACAATACACTTCACTTCACAGATCTTCGCTGGATACACAGGAGAGTGGATTATTGACGAAATTGTCTTCGTCATATATTGTCACTGAGAGAGTCAAAATGATTTTGAGTGTGTGTCAGACTGAAGAATTTGTCGATTTATATTTCATGGAAATCCTGAGTGTGGGAGCGAATCAGTGAGTGAGTCAGAGAGTGAGTGAGTGTGTGAGTGAGTTAATCCAAGAGACATTTTCTCATCTCCAGATTGAATGAGGCATTGAGGGAGGGAGTGATTAAGTGATTGAGTGAGTGTCTGATTCAGTGTGGTGATGAAAATAGTGCGAGTTTCAATGAACATCTCGTGAAGACTGAGAAGAATGCAGTTGACCTGCAAACCACCAGAGACTTACCGGCGTCATGTTCCTCGTTGTCACCCTCTGAAATCAACACACACAGATATTTGATTACATGCGATTCGCGTCAGTCTTTCTCAAACAAGCAAATACAAATCGAATCATACTGCACTTCATCCTCAACTCCACTACACTGCTCAACACATCACCACCATGACAATCTACACCAAAATACACTAACATATACTCTGCATCGCCACAATATACCACGCTGCGCTATACAAAACAAAGAGAAACTGCATTGAAATACACTACTCCACTCCAAAATACACTACACTACACAACACAACAATACACTTCACTTCACAGATCTTCGCTGGATACACAGGAGAGTGGATTATTGACGAAATTGTCTTCGTCATATATTGTCACTGAGAGAGTCAAAATGATTTTGAGTGTGTGTCAGACTGAAGAATTTGTCGATTTATATTTCATGGAAATCCTGAGTGTGGGAGCGAATCAGTGAGTGAGTCAGAGAGTGAGTGAGTGTGTGAGTGAGTTAATCCAAGAGACATTTTCTCATCTCCAGATTGAATGAGGCATTGAGGGAGGGAGTGATTAAGTGATTGAGTGAGTGTCTGATTCAGTGTAGTGATGAAAATAGTGCGAGTTTCAATGAACATCTCGTGAAGACTGGGAAGAATGCAGTTGACCTGCAAACCACCAGAGACTTACCGGCGTCATGTTCCTCGTTGTCACCCTCTGAAATCAACACACACAGATATTTGATTACATGGGATTCGCGTCAGTCTTTCTCAAACAAGCAAATACAAATCGAATCATACTGCACTTCATCCTCAACTCCACTACACTGATCAATACATCACCACCATGACAATCTACACAAAAATACACTAACATACACTCTACATCGCCATAATATACCACGCCACGCTATACAACACAAAGCGAAACTGCATTGAAATACACTACTCCACTCTAAAATACACTACACTACACAACACAACAATACACTTCACTTCACAGATCTTCGCTGGATACACAGGAGAGTGGATTATTGACGAAATTGTCTTCGTCATATATTGTCACTGAGAGAGTCAAAATGATTTTGAGTGTGTGTCAGACTGAAGAATTTGTCGATTTATATTTCATGGAAATCCTGAGTGTGGGAGCGAATCAGTGAGTGAGTCAGAGAGTGAGTGAGTGTGTGAGTGAGTTAATCCAAGAGACATTTTCTCATCTCCAGATTGAATGAGGCATTGAGGGATGGAGTGATTAAGTGATTGAGTGAGTGTCTGATTCAGTGTGGTGATGAAAATAGTGCGAGTTTCAATGAACATCTCGTGAAGACTGAGAAGAATGCAGTTGACCTGCAAACCACCAGAGACTTACCGGCGTCATGTTCCTCGTTGTCACCCTCTGAAATCAACACACACAGATATTTGATTACATGCGATTCGCGTCAGTCTTTCTCAAACAAGCAAATACAAATCGAATCATACTGCACTTCATCCTCAACTCCACTACACTGCTCAACACATCACCAACACGACAATCTACACCAAAATACACTAACATACACTCTGCATCGCCACAATATACCACGCTGCGCTATACAAAACAAAGAGAAACTGCATTGAAATACACTACTCCACTCCAAAATACACTACACTACACAACACAACAATACACTTCACTTCACAGATCTTCGCTGGATACACAGGAGAGTGGATTATTGACGAAATTGTCTTCGTCATATATTGTCACTGAGAGAGTCAAAATGATTTTGAGTGTGTGTCAGACTGAAGAATTTGTCGATTTATATTTCATGGAAATCCTGAGTGTGGGAGCGAATCAGTGAGTGAGTGAGAGAGTGAGTGAGTGTGTGAGTGAGTTAATCCAAGAGACATTTTCTCATCTCCAGATTGAATGAGGCATTGAGGGAGGGAGTGATTAAGTGATTGAGTGAGTGTCTGATTCAGTGTGGTGATGAAAATAGTGCGAGTTTCAATGAACATCTCGTGAAGACTGAGAAGAATGCAGTTGACCTGCAAACCACCAGAGACTTACCGGCGTCATGTTCCTCGTTGTCACCCTCTGAAATCAACACACACAGATATTTGATTACATGCGATTCGCGTCAGTCTTTCTCAAACAAGCAAATACAAATCGAATCATACTGCACTTCATCCTCAACTCCACTACACTGATCAACACATCACCAACACGACAATCTACACCAAAATACACTAACATACACTCTACATCGCCACAATATACCACGCTGCGCTATACAAAACAAAGAGAAACTGCATTGAAATACACTACTCCACTCCAAAATACACTACACTACACAACACAACAATACACTTCACTTCACAGATCTTCGCTGGATACACAGGAGAGTTGACTATTGACGAAATTGTCTTCGTCATATATTGTCACTGAGAGAGTCATAATGATATTGAGTGTATATCAGACTGAAGAATTTGTCGATTTATATTTCATGGAAAACGTGAGTGTGGGAGCGAATCAGTGAGTGAGTCCGTGAGTGCGTGAGTGCGTGAGTGAGTGAGAGAGTGAGTGAGTGAGTTAATCCAAGAGACATTTTCTCATCTCCAGATTGAATGAGGCATTGAGGGAGGGAGTGATTAAGTGATTGAGTGAGTGTCTGATTCAGTGTAGTGATGAAAATAGTGCGAGTTTCAATGAACATCTCGTGAAGACTGAGAAGAATGCAGTTGACCTGCAAACCACCAGAGACTTACCGGCGTCATGTTCCTCGTTGTCACCCTCTGAAATCAACACACACAGATATTTGATTACATGGGATTCGCGTCAGTCTTTCTCAAACAAGCAAATACAAATCGAATCATACTGCACTTCATCCTCAACTCCACTACACTGCTCAACACATCACCAACACGACAATCTACACCAAAATACACTAACATACACTCTGCATCGCCACAATATACCACGCTACGCTATACAACACAAAGCGAATCTGCATTGAAATACACTAGTCAACTCTAAAATACACTACACTACACTACACAACAATACAGTAGAGTACACTGCAATACAACACAGTACACTACACAACAATACACTTCACTTCACAGATCTTCGCTGCATACACAGGAGATTAGACTATTGACGAAATTGTCTTCGTCATATATTGTCACAGAGAGAGTCATAATGATTTTGAGTGTATATCAGACTGAAGAATTTGTCGATTTATATTTCATGGAAAACCTGAGTGACAGAGCGATTCAGTGAGTGATTGTGTGAGTGAGTTAATCCAAGAGACATTTTCTCATCTCCAGATTGAATGAGGCATTGAGGGATGGAGTGATTGAGTGATTGAGTGAGTGTCTGATTCAGTGTGGTGATGAAAATAGTGCGAGTTTCAATGGACATCTCGTGAAGACTGAGAAGAATGCAGTTGACCTGCAAACGACCAGAGACTTACCGGCGTCATGTTCCTCGTTGTCACCCTCTGAAATCAACACACACAGATATTTGATTACATGCGATTCGCGTCAGTCTTTCTCAAACAAGCAAATACAAATCGAATCATACTGCACTTCATCCTCAACTCCACTACACTGATCAACACATCACCACCACTGCTATCTACACCACAATACACTGACGCACACTATATATCTCTTCAATATATATCGAGACGCCAGATAAATGAAGGTTACACCTGAAATATTCTGGCTGCACTACAAACTCTTTCGCTTTCTACAGAGTATTTAGGACATTTTCCGAAATCGCAGGCGTCAGAGAATATCACTCTGAGATTCATGATCACTCTAATTGGATGACAGACTTAAAAATGTATCGATTTTAGGTGCGATTGATACAGTTGCTGGGTGTGTGATAAAGTGATTCTGTGATTTTGCGAGCTTGAGAGTGAATGGGAGACTGTGTGACTGAGTGACAGTTTGAATGTGTGAGTGAGTGTCTGATTCAGTGTGATAAATAGGATAGTTCGAGTTTCAGTGGACATCTCATGATGACTGAGAAGAATGCAGTTGACCTGCAAAACACCAGAAACTTACCTGCTATATTTTCCCCGTTGCCACCATCTATAATGTTCACACACAAATATTTGTTCACATAGCATTCGCGCAAGCCTTATCATATAGTCAAATATAATTTCGAATCATTCTGCAGTTCATCCTGCATTCCACTCCACTGTTTGACACATCACCGCTACTTACTACACCACACTACACTATTTTACTCTGAAATTCTTTTCACTTGTCGTCCTCTCGAATCTCTTGCCATACCTTTGTCTGCTTTTTCGGCATTATAACCTGGGTTTTTCGCTTATTTTTCATCTACCTCTACTGGTTTTTATCGATATCTTCCTCTGTATTTTGAATCGAATTCTCACTGTTTTTTCAATGGTAATTTCGATATTTGTTTTGTATTTTACTGGCCTCTACTTTGTGTGTTTTGTTTTCAAATGTGTTAGATATTATTGTTTTCCTAAATTCCTCATCCTACTTTGATCGACTTCTTTTAATTTTACTTTTGTCTTTGAATAGTTGTCTTGTTTAATTTTCGCCTTTATCTTTGCCATTTACCTGTGATTTTCTCTTTGTACCGCCATTTTCATGCTTTCGCTCCCACGTCATTTTGTCATTTCGCTTCTGTTTGTTTCTGATTTAGTCTCTGCTGACTTGTTGTTTTAGAGCTGGTTTCATTGGTTGTTCACCAACTTCACTTCTTTCTTGTCGATTAGTGTATCCTGACACTTTTTCTCTATTCATGTTTTCGAACTCGGTCGTCCTGATTTCCCCCCCCCCACCCAAAAAAAAATTTCTTCCTTTGATCAGTCGATGCGTCTCTCTCTCCAACCTAGTGCATAAGCCACTTTTATGAGGATATTGTCAGTATCTTCTTTTCTGAGTTCACGAGCTATATGCCCACTATCAATCAACTCAGATATCCTAGCAAATACGATGCGTTCCAATTCATGACAACCTCTCAAGTGATCATATTAAATGTATATCAATCTTCAATCTTCCTACTCCCTGAAGTTATTCCTATAAGCCATAGTGATATGCAGTTTGATTGAGTAACATAAAAACATTCAATATGTAGATATTAGGAAAACATGAAATGAAGGAATGTACGTCGGAAACACAGCGGTTAAGACGATCGCCGACCATGCCCATGGTCTGAGGTTTGATCTCCGGCCGATGCACACCCGCTATCAATGGTCGGCCTTCAAAATTTGGGCTACCGATATCACATACTGAACATTTTACACTTGTATCAAAAATACTGTCTGGAGACAAGCTATAATAAAATTTTTAAAAACATAAAAAAATAAAAAAAGAATATACATATATTGACTCACGTATATGAACCAGCAAGCAAAGCATGAAGTACAGGAGAAGTGTTTTCAACCTCATTGTTTTCTGTGAAACAATAATAATAATAAATTCATCTAAATCTCCTGAGTATTTATACCATCATCGTGGTAAAAGTCTCATGTTGTTTCTCATCAGCTGAACACGAAAATAGATAAGGTCAAGCACATTCAGAGAGAGCTTCACAGATATTCTTTAATTGAAAATTGTAGTGCAGAAATATGAGGTAAGTAGCAACTATATAATCAAAGTATACCTTATCAATAGGTGGTTTGTAAGTAATAGATTTGTCCTGAAGAGTTCCTAAACCATTCTTATAAGTGAGAGAAAAAATGATGCGTATAAATAATGCGATACATATATAACATACAACTGAGCACTGGGAAAAGGAGAAAGTGCATAATGTAGAAAAAGGAAGAGATATAGTGAGAGTGAGTGAGCGTGTGTTTGTGTGTTCCATCTGTGTTTGTGTGTGTGTCTGCGTGCATGCATGCGTGCGTGTGTTTACTTGTTTGTTCATTTCATCAGGGTGTTTAAGATATGCTCACCCCTACTCCATGTGAGCTTCAACTCACGATGATGACAGGGGGAAAATTCTCTCATCACAATGAGATTGTTGAGGACACAATTAACCCCAGAGCCTATTGAGAGGGTATCATGAGAAGAATAGCGTGTGTTCATGCACTTCTGTGTAATTCCCATGTGTGCGTGTCGTGTTTTCGTCTTAGTGGAGAGAGAAACACTGAGATGGAGACAGAGACAAAGCGAGTGAGTGCGAGAGATAGTGTGTGTGCTTGTGCATGTGTTTGTGTGCCTGTTTGTGTGTGTGTGTGTTCGTGAGACAGAAAGAGAAAGGAGGAATTGTGAGAGTTTCTCGCACTGTGAGAAAGTACACCAAGCCTCTACTAGAAAGCAGCCCACCCTGATACGCTTTCCCACCATCAAGAACAGCGCTCACCTCCGTATCATTTTCTAGTATGATTATGTTAATAACCATATCATCACAGCATAAATTCATGTATAACTAAACTTACAATATTATTAAATATGTCCAAACCAAGTGACCTTTTAACAGTTTGGTAAAACTTGGGCATTGGGTATATGATATTCATTATAATGAAGGTTTTTTGTATTTCCCAGTGAATGGAAAACAAGGCGATATTGTTTTCACTGACATTTCGCTATTTAATGCTGCTGCTAATGGCTTTATCAAAGTGTTATTAAACTAGAATTTGCAAAATCTCAGCTTACATCTAACAACCCAATCATCGTTCCTCAGCATGGGTTTATTTTTGCGTTGTCAAGTTGGCCAAGTAGTAAAGATAACAAAACCAGGTGTAGATTGTTGGATTTGATAAGTGTGTAAAATTTTAAAGGCAGCGTGTGTTTACATGATGAAATTGTTTATGACATTCGTGTTGATTTTGTCATTTCATGGGGTGGGGAGGGGGTGTTGTGACCAGGTCAAATTCTGTTTCAGTCCATCATTCCTATTCAGACAATTTGGATTCCATTTGACATGAATTGCTTCTGATGATATTAGACGTTCTTTGTGATTTCTGAAATGCTTTTTCTGGATAATTTCAATATTGTCAAAATCAATTTTGTGGCCTGATTCTATAGCGTGTAGACCTATGGCTGATGATTTTTCAAGCTTTTCTAGTTCAACCGGATTTCTCGGTGGTCGAACAGATGCTCTACGGTGTTCATTCCTTCCGATTTTGATTTCTATCTGGCGATGTTTGTCCGATGTATATCGCTTCACATTCCAAGCATGCATTTTATTTTATAAACACAATTAGATAGAGAATCTTTAGGGATTTGGTCTTTTATATGGACAAGGTTGCTGATGTTTTGAAGAAAACTCTGATGTCGAGATTATTGAGTACTCTTCTAATATCGTCTGACGTCTCTGCTCTATATGGAATGACAACTGTTGAGGTCCATGTTTTCAGAATACGTTTTCGACCATATTTAACGTCAGTGTTGATTTTGTTGATGAAGTTCTTTTGGTAGTTCTTTTGCTTGAGAGTCTCAGTAATGTTTGATATTTCTTTTTCTCTTTCTTTTTTCCATCCGTTAATATCAAACAGTGTGCTCGTCTAAGAAGACTTGAAACAACTGATACCTTTGCGCTGATGGGGTGTGATGATCCGAAGTCTAGATATTTGTTGGAGTGGGTTTTCTTCCTGAATATAGATATACTAAAATGTCCGTTTTCCCTCCTCTTAACTAGGCAGTCTAGAAATGGTAGTTCACCGACGTCTGATTCTGCTTCCGAAGTAAACTGGATTCTGGGAGATAGATTGTTTAGTTTCTCCAAGAATGAACTGCGTAGATCTCGTTTTAGCACTACAAAAGTATCATCTACATATCTTAACCATATTTTAGGAGTGAGTATGCTTGAAAAGATGTTATCTTCGAATCTATTCATGAAAAGGTCAGCGACTATTGGGGAGACTGGTGAACCCATAGCAACACCATTTGTCTGTCTATATAAATTCCCTTTAAATGTAAAATAATTACTTTCTAGACAGAATTTCGAGCTCTTAATTATTTCACTGGTGTCCAATGGACATCTTGTGATAGTGTTGTATGTGATTCTGGTAAACTGGAAATGATATCAAGAAAATCGGTAATAGGGATACCCCATGTTAAGGAACGATGATTGAGTTGTTATATATAAGCTGAGATTTTGTAAATTCTAGTTTAATAACACTTTGATAAAGCCATTAGCAGCAGAATTAAATAGCGAAACATCAATAAAAACAACATCACCTTGCCTTTCATTCACTGGGTAATACAAAAGACCTTCATTATAATGAATATCATATACCCAATGCCCAAGTTTTACCAAACTGTTAAAAGTTAACTTGGTTAATTATTATTATTGTTCCCTTGGGTTCCTAGTGGAACATAGGGCTTCAAATGCACATCTGCACTTGCTTCTCTCTTCTGCTGTATTTTTCACTTGCATCCATGTTAATCCATACTGTTTCAACTCCTCTTCACACGATCTCCTCCATGTCACCCTTAGACGGCCCACTCACCGCTTCCCTTTCGGATTCCACTCGAGGGCCTGACGCGTGATGTCACCCAGCGACCTCCTCAGCGAGTGTCCAATCCATCTCCACTTTCTCCTGCATATTTCTTGGGCGATTGGCTCTTGTTTTGTTTGTTTGTCCCATAGTTTCTCATTGGTGATTCTTTCCGACCATCTGATCTTCAGCAGAGAACGAAGACAGTTGTTGATAAAGGTCTGCAACAGGCTGTTGGAAATATTCTTTGTGATCCGCCAAGTTTCTGATTCGTATAGAAGAACTGACTGACTTGACGTTTGTATTGAAAATCTGAATTTTGTTGTTGATGCTGAGTGACGAAGATTTCCAGATTGGTTTCAGGTTGATGAATGTGTTTCTCGCCTTCCCGATTCTCGATTTGACATCCTCGTCCGTTCCTCCTGTGGTTGAGACAATGCTCCCCAGATAAGTGAATGAAGTAACCTCTTTCAAATCCCTCCCGTTGATGGTGATTGGCGCTGGATGTTTCTGCTGCTGTTGTTGTTGTTTGGTTATTTTCATAACCTCCGTCTTGTCTATGTTGACCTGGAGTCCTGTCTTCTCTGGCTGCTTCTCCGACTGGTTTGTTTTGTTTCGCTTGTAAGTCTTCGATTTGTGTGACATCAAACATAAATCATCCACGCGCGAAATCCAGGTCTTCTAGGTTCTTCACGTCGGTCCAGGATATCCCTCCCTGTCTTCTCGTTTCCCACTGTCTGACGCATAATCCAGTCCACCACAATGAGGAATATCATTGGTGATAATAAGCATCCTTGTCTGACTCCTGTGTTCACTCCAAATGCTTCGCTGAGTTTTCCATTGTGGATCACATGACATGTGCCGTTGTCGTACAGCTATTGAATAAAGTTGATGAATATTTGGGGTACGCCGTAGTACTCGAGTGGTTTCCAAATTACTTCGCGGTCAACGCTGTCGAAGGCCTTCTCAATGTCTATGAAGGAAGTTGAGGTAGAGGTCTGATTGCCATTCCATGGTTTGTTCGATGATGATGCGTAGAGTTGCAATTTGGTCAGAAAATGATTTGCCTTTCCTGAATCCAGGTTGTTCTGGTCGGAGTTCTGTATCCAGTGCGTCCTTTATTCTCTCCAGGATGATGCGACTCAGAATTTTGCTTGGCGTCGACAGGAGCATGATTCCTCGCCAGTTCTTACAGAGTCCTAAGTCGCCCTTCTTTGGTAGTTTCACCAGGTAACCTTTCCTCCATTCAGTAGGCACCTTTTCCTCTTTCCAGATCTTCTGCAATAATGGAGTCAGCATATCTGCTGTCGTTTCTGGGTCCGCTTTCAGTGCTTCCGGGGGTATTCCATCTGGTCCAGCTGCTTTTCCAGCTTCCAGAAGCTTGATTGCATTCAAGAATTCAGCTTTCGTCGGAGGATTGGTGTCAACTTGCAGTTGTGTACGTGCTGTTGTTGGTATTTCTGGACAGGTTGTAGGTGGTGGTCGGTTCAAGAGTCCTTTGAAGTGGTCCGCCCATTGTTTAATCTGTCTTTCTTCTTTGGTAATTGGGTTCCCTTGGCTGTCTTTTATAGGTTTCACTTGTGTTGATCTCTTCCCGGATAGAGACTTGGTTATCTGATATAGTGTCCTCAGGTCCCTTTTGCCTGCTGCCTTCTCAGCTTCAGTAGCCAGGTTGTCGTAGAATTGTCTTTTGTCCTTCCTGGCACTCTTCTTCACTTCTTTGTCCAGTGCTGTGTAAGTTGAGCTCAGCGTCTCCTTCTCTTGTCCGTCTTTGCATTGAATCATTTTCTCTTTCACCTTTCTCCTCTCCTCTATTAGCTTCCAAGTGTCCGTTGAGAGCCATTCCTTGTCTTGTTTCTTCTTTCTTCCTAAGACCGTTGAACACGTTTCGTTGAAAATTACCTTCAGAGAGTTCCAATGGTCTTCCACGGATGATTCCTCAGTGGTGCCACGTAGTGTTTCCTGCTTTGCTCTGACAGTTGCAGTGAAAATGTCCTGTGTGATTGTGTCCTTCAGTTTTTGCGTGTTGAACTTGCATTGTGGCCTATCCCCAGGTATCCTTGAGGCTTTCAGCTTCACCTTGAAAGTCCCTTGTACTAGATAGTGGTCTGAATCCACATCTGCTCCTCTCCTCGATCTTGTGTCCAGTAGGCTCCGTCTCCATTTCCTTGAGATTGAAATGAAGTCTATCTGGTTTTTGGTGTGTCCATCTGGTGAAATCCATGTTGCCTTGTGTATATCCCTGTGTTTGAACACACTGCCACCAATCACCAAATCATTGAAGGCGCAGAAGTCTGAGAAGAGTTCGCCATTTTCGTTCATTTCACCGAGGGCCTCACGACCCATGGTGAGTTCTCTTCCTGTATTGTCTCCTCCCAGTTTCTCATTCATGTCACCCATCAGGATTTTGATATCGCCATTTGGGACGTTGTCCATTACTGTTTGTAGTTGACTGTAGAATTCCTCCTTCTTCTCTTCTTCTGAGACGTTTGTAGGCGCGTAGCATTGAATGAGTGTAACCTTCCTTCCTTTTGAGTTGAACCTGGCTGTCATTATCCTGGAGGAGATTGGTTCCCACTGCATGAGAGCTTTAGCCGCTGTTGGTGACATCATGATGGCTACTCCCTTGGTGTGCTCGTGATCGTCCTCTGGTTGAACAGAGTAGATTATTGTGTCTCCAGCTGGTAGTTGGCACCTTCCGCATCCGTTCCATCTGCTCTCGCAGATTCCCAACACTTCTATTTTGTATCTCCTCATTTCTGCGGCTATCTGAGCAGCCTTTCCAGTTTCGTACATTGTACAAATATTCCACGTCCCCATCCTTATTTTTGCTTTCATCGAAAGAAGGCACATCGGCTGACTGGCTTCCCGAAGGCTTTCACCAGCCTGCGTCATTTCACTTCCCCGATTCCAGCGAAAAATAAGGTGATTGTTTGTACTTTTAGAATTTTTAATATGTTTGTGCGTTGAAGTTTTAGTAGCAGTTTGGTTGAGTTTTGGGGATGGAGCTGCTAGCACCACGCCCCAACCCTCCCTCTTTATCCGGGCTTGGGTTCGGCTAGAATACTAGTGTCCTAGTAATCTAGGCGAGGTTTATTAATATTGTAGGTTTAGTTATACATGAATTTATGCTATGATGATATGGTTATTAACATAATCATACTAGAAAATGATACGCAGGTGAGCGCTGTTCTTGATGGTGGGAAAGCGTATCAGGCTGAGCTGCTTTCTAGTAGAGGCTTGGTGTACTTTCTCACAGTGCGAGAAACTCTCACAATTCTTTCTCTCTCTCACGAACATGCACACACACAAACATGCACACAAACACATGTACAGGCACACACACACTATCTCTCTGGGGCTCACTCGCTCTATCTCTGTCCCCATCTCCATCTCAGTGTTTCTCTCTCCGTTAAGACGAAAACACGAAACGCACACATGGGAATTACACAGAAGTGCATGAACACACGCTATTCTTCTCATGATACCCTCTCAATAGGCTCTCGGGTCAATTGTGTCCTCAACAATCTCATTGTGATGAGAGAATTTTCCCCCTGTCATCATCGTGAGTTGAAGCTCACATGGAGTAGGGGTGAGCATATCTTAAACACCCTGATGAAATGAACAAACAAGTAAACACACGCACGCATGCATGCACGCAGACACACACACAAACACAGATGGAACACACAAACACACGCTCACTCACTCTCACTGTATCTCTTCCTTTTTCTACATTATGCACTTTCTCCTTTTCCCAGTGCTCAGTTGTATGTTATATATGTATCGCATTATTTATACGCATCATTTTTTCTCTCACTTATAAGAATGGTTTAGGAACTCTTCAGGACAAATCTATTACTTGCAAACCACCTATTGATAAGGTATACTTTGATTATATAGTTGCTACTTACCTCATATTTCTGCACTACAATTTTCAATTAAAGAATATCTGTGAAGCTCTCTCTGAATGTGCTTGACCTTATCTATTTTCGTGTTCAGCTGATGAGAAACAACATGAGACTTTTACCACGATGATGGTATAAATACTCAGGAGATTTAGATGAATTTATTATTATTATTGTTTCACAGAAAACAATGAGGTTGAAAACACTTCTCCTGTACTTCATGCTTTGCTTGCTGGTTCATATACGTGAGTCAATATATGTATACTCTTTTTTCATTTTTTTATGTTGATTTTAAAAATTTTATTATAGCTTGTCTCCAGACAGTATTTTTGATACAAGTGTAAAATGTTCAGTATGTGATATCGGTAGCCGAAATTTTGAAGGCCGACCATTGATAGCGGGTGTGCATCGGCCGGAGATCAAACCTCAGACCATGGGCATGGTCGGCGATCGTCTTAACCGCTGTGTTTCCGACGTACATTCCTTCATTTCATGTTTTCCTAATATCTACATATTGAATGTTTTCATGTTACTCAGTCAAACTGCATATCACCATGGCTTATAGAAATAACTTCAGGGAGTAGGAAGATTGAAGATTGATATACATTTAACATGATCACTTGAGAGGTTGTCATGAATTGGAACGCATCGTATTTGCTAGGATATCTGAGTTGATTGATAGTGGGCATATAGCTCGTGAAATCAGAAAAGAAGATACTGACAATATCCTCATAAAAGTGGCTTATGCATTAGGTTGGAGAGAGAGACGCATCGACTAATCAAAGGAAGAAATTTTTTTTTGGGTGGGGGGGGAATCAGGACGACCGAGTTCGAAAACATGAATAGAGAAAAAGTGTCAGGATACACTAATCGACAAGAAAGAAGTGAAGCTGGTGAACAATCAATGAAACCAGCTCTAAAACAACAACTCAGGAGAGACTAAATAAGAAACAAACAGAAGTGAGATGGCAAAATGACGTGGGAGCGAAAGCATGAAAATGGCGGTACAAAGAGAAAATCACGGGTAAATGGCAATGATAAAGGGGAAAATAAATCAAGACAATTATTCAAAGACAGAAGTTAAATTAAAAGAAGTCGGTCAAAGTAGGATGAGGAATTTAGGAAAACAATAATATCTAACACATTTGAAAACAAAACACACAAAGTAGAGGCCAGTAAAATACAAAAGAAAAATCTAAATTACCATTGAAAAAAACAATGAGAATTTGATTCAAAATACAGAGGAAGATGTCGATAAAAACCAGTAGAGGTAGATGAAAAATTAGCGACAAAACCAGGTTATAATGCCGAAAAACGGAGAGAAAAGGAAGGAAAGAGAATCGAGACGATGTGAAGTGAGAAGAATTTCAGAGTAAAATAGTGTAGTGTGGTGTATTAAGTAGCGGTGATGTGTCAAACAGTGGAGTGGAATGCAGGATGAAGTGCAGCATGATTCGATATTATATTTGACTATATGTTAAGGCTTGCGCGAACGCTATGTGAACAAATATTTGTGTGTAAACATTATAGATGCTGGCAACGGGGAAAATATAGCAGGTAAGTCTGTCGTGTTATCCTGGTCAATTGCATTCTTCTCAATATTTATGAGATGTCCACTGAACCTCGAACTATTCGATTTCTTCAATTAGATATTTTAGGTTTAACCTTGATATGTCTAGCGTATAGTCGTATATTCTAGGATTGCACAGAATATGCTAGTGCATTGCGTTATAGATTTTCGTGGTGGTGGTCAGTTGAGGAGTGAAGTTGAGTTAAGCACGAAGTGCAATATGCTCCGGTTCGTATTTGCTCGTTTGAGAAAGACTGACGCGAATCCCGTGTAATCAAATATCTGTGTGTGTGTTGATTTCAGAGGGTGACGACGAGGAACATGACGCAGGTAAGTCTCTGGTCGTTTGCAGGTCAACTGCATTCTTCTCAGTCTTCACGAGATGTCCATTGAAACTCGAACTATTATCATCATCACACTGAATCAACCACTCACTCACTCTCTGAATCAATCATACACTCACACATTCCATCACTGCCTCAATTAGTCTCTCCACAAGACTATGTCTCATTCACTAACTCACCCACTCAATCACTCAATCATACACTCATTCACACAATCAGTAACTCATTCATTCACTCACTCAATCAACGAATCAATCACTCACTGACTGAAACACACAATCACTCACTCTCTCAGTCATTCACTCGCTCACTCACTCACGTTTTCCATGAAATATCAATCGACAAATTCTTCAGTCTGTTATACACTCAAAATCATTATGACTCTCTCAGTGACGATATATGACGAAGATAATTTCGTCAATAATTTCATCTCCACTTCATGCAGCGAATATTGGTTAGGTGAAGTGTTTTGTATTTTAGGGTGTATTGTAGTGTTGCAATGAACGGTAATATATTATTGTGCAGTGCAGTGCAGTATAGTGTAGTGTAGTGTATTGTTGTGTATTGTGGTATATTTCAGTGCAGTTCGCTTTGTTTTGTATAGCGTAGCGTGGTATATTGTGGCGATGTGTGGTGTATGTTAGAGTATTGTGTTGCAGCTTGTAGTTTTGATGCTTTGAGGAGTGTTGTTGAGTTGAGGATGAAGTGCGTTATTATTCGAATTTTATTTGCTTGTTTGAGAAAGACTGACGCGAATCCCGTGTAATCAAATATCTGTGTGTGTGTTGATTTCAGAGGGTGACAACGAGGAACATGACGCAGGTAAGTCTCTGGTCGTTTGCAGGTCAACTGCATTCTTCTCAGTCTTCACGAGATGTCCATTGAAACTCGAACTATTATCATCATCACACTGAATCAACCACTCACTCACTCTCTGAATCAATCATACACTCACACATTCCATCACTGCCTCAATTAGTCTCTCCACAAGACTATGTCTCATTCACTAACTCACTCACTCAATCACTCAATCACTCACTCTCTCAGTCATTCACTCGCTCACTCACTCACGTTTTCCATGAAATATCAATCGACAAATTCTTCAGTCTGTTATACACTCAAAATCATTATGACTCTCTCAGTGACGATATATGACGAAGATAATTTCGTCAATAATTTCATCTCCACTTCATGCAGCGAATATTGGTTAGGTGAAGTGTTTTGTATTTTAGGGTGTATTGTAGTGTTGCAATGAACGGTAATATATTATTGTGCAGTGCAGTGCAGTATAGTGTAGTGTAGTGTTGTGTATTGTGGTGTATTTCAGTGCAGTTTCGCTTTGTTTTGTATAGCGTAGCGTGGTATATTGTGGCGATGTGTGGTGTATGTTAGAGTATTGTGTTGCAGCTTGTAGTTGTGATGTTTTGAGGAGTGTTGTTGAGTTGAGGATGAAGTGCGTTATTATTCGAATTTTATTTGCTTGTTTGAGAAAGACTGACGCGAATCCCGTGTAATCAAATATCTGTGTGTGTGTTGATTTCAGAGGGTGACAACGAGGAACATGACGCAGGTAAGTCTCTGGTCGTTTGCAGGTCAACTGCATTCTTCTCAGTCTTCACGAGATGTCCATTGAAACTCTCACTATTATCATCATCACACTGAATCAGCCACTCACTCACTCTCTGAATCAATCATACACTCACACATTCCATCACTGCCTCAATTAGTCTCTCCACAAGACTATGTCTCATTCACTAACTCACTCACTCACTCACTCAATCAATCACTCACTCTCTCAGTCATTCACTCGCTCGCTCACTCACTCACGTTTTCCATGAAATATCAATCGACAAATTCTTCAGTCTGTTATACACTCAAAATCATTATGACTCTCTCAGTGACGATATATGACGAAGATAATTTCGTCAATAATTTCATCTCCACTTCATGCAGCGAATATTGGTTAGGTGAAGTGTTTTGTATTTTAGGGTGTATTGTAGTGTTGCAATGAACGGTAATATATTATTGTGCAGTGCAGTGCAGTATAGTGTAGTGTAGTGTATTGTTGTGTATTGTGGTATATTTCAGTGCAGTTCGCTTTGTTTTGTATAGCGTAGCGTGGTATATTGTGGCGATGTGTGGTGTATGTTAGAGTATTGTGTTGCAGCTTGTAGTTTTGATGCTTTGAGGAGTGTTGTTGAGTTGAGGATGAAGTGCGTTATTATTCGAATTTTATTTGCTTGTTTGAGAAAGACTGACGCGAATCCCGTGTAATCAAATATCTGTGTGTGTGTTGATTTCAGAGGGTGACAACGAGGAACATGACGCAGGTAAGTCTCTGGTCGTTTGCAGGTCAACTGCATTCTTCTCAGTCTTCACGAGATGTCCATTGAAACTCGAACTATTATCATCATCACACTGAATCAACCACTCACTCACTCTCTGAATCAATCATACACTCACACATTCCATCACTGCCTCAATTAGTCTCTCCACAAGACTATGTCTCATTCACTAACTCACTCACTCAATCACTCAATCACTCACTCTCTCAGTCATTCACTCGCTCACTCACTCACGTTTTCCATGAAATATCAATCGACAAATTCTTCAGTCTGTTATACACTCAAAATCATTATGACTCTCTCAGTGACGATATATGACGAAGATAATTTCGTCAATAATTTCATCTCCACTTCATGCAGCGAATATTGGTTAGGTGAAGTGTGTTGTATTTTAGGGCATATTGTAGTGTTGCAATGAACGGTAATATATTATTGTGCAGTGCAGTGCAGTATAGTGTAGTGTTGTGTATTGTGGTGTATTTCAGTGCAGTTCGCTTTGTTTTTATATAGCTTAGCGTGGTATATTATGGCGATGTGTGGTGTATGTTAGTGTATTTTGATGTAGATTGTCGTGGTGATGATATGTTGAGCAGTGTATTTCAGTTGAGGATGAATTTCAGTATGATTCAATTCGTAGTCGCTGGTTACAGAAGAACTGACTCGAATCCCATGTAATCAAATATCTGTGTGTGTGTTGATTTCAGAGGGTGACAACGAGGAACATGACGCAGGTAAGTCTCTGGTCGTTTGCAGGTCAACTGCATTCTTCTCAGTCTTCACGAGATGTCCATTGAAACTCGAACTATTATCATCATCACACTGAATCAGCCACTCACTCACTCTCTGAATCAATCATACACTCACACATTCCATCACTGCCTCAATTAGTCTCTCCACAAGACTATGTCTCATTCACTAACTCACTCACTCAATCACTCAATCACTCACTCTCTCAGTCATTCACTCGCTCACTCACTCACGTTTTCCATGAAATATCAATCGACAAATTCTTCAGTCTGTTATACACTCAAAATCATTATGACTCTCTCAGTGACGATATATGACGAAGATAATTTCGTCAATAATTTCATCTCCACTTCATGCAGCGAATATTGGTTAGGTGAAGTGTGTTGTATTTTAGGGCATATTGTAGTGTTGCAATGAACGGTAATATATTATTGTGCAGTGCAGTGCAGTATAGTGTAGTGTATTGTTGTGTATTGTGGTATATTTCAGTGCAGTTCGCTTTGTTTTGTATAGCGTAGCGTGGTATATTGTGGCGATGTGTGGTGTATGTTAGAGTATTGTGTTGCAGCTTGTAGTTTTGATGCTTTGAGGAGTGTTGTTGAGTTGAGGATGAAGTGCGTTATTATTCGAATTTTATTTGCTTGTTTGAGAAAGACTGACGCGAATCCCATGTAATCAAATATCTGTGTGTGTGTTGATTTCAGAGGGTGACAACGAGGAACATGACGCAGGTAAGTCTCTGGTGGTTTGCAGGTCAACTGCATTCTTCTCAGTCTTCACGAGATGTCCATTGAAACTCGAACTATTATCATCATCACACTGAATCATCCACTCATTCACTCTCTGAATCAATCATACACTCACACATTCCATCACTGCCTCAATTAGTCTCTCCACAAGACTAAGTCTCATTCACTAACTCACTCACTCAATCACTCAATCACTCACTCTCTCAGTCATTCACTCGCTCACTCACTCACTCACTCACGTTTTCCATGAAATATCAATCGACAAATTCTTCAGTCTGTTATACACTCAAAATCATTATGACTCTCTCAGTGACGATATATGACGAAGATAATTTCGTCAATAGTTTCATCTCCTCTTTATGCGGCGAATATCGGTGAGGTGAAGTGTGTTGTATTTTAGGGCATATTGTAGTGTTGCAATGAACGGTAATATATTATTGTGCAGTGCAGTGCAGTTAGTGTAGTGTAGTGTAGTGTGGTGTTGTGTTGTGTATTGTGGTATATTTCAGTGCAGTTTCGCTTTGTTTTGTATAGCGTAGCGTGGTATATTGTGGCGATGTGTGGTGTATGTTAGAGTATTGTGTTGCAGCTTGTAGTTGTGATGTTTTGAGGAGTGTTGTTGAGTTGAGGATGAAGTGCGTTATTATTCGAATTTTATTTGCTTGTTTGAGAAAGACTGACGCGAATCCCATGTAATCAAATATCTGTGTGTGTGTTGATTTCAGAGGGTGACAACGAGGAACATGACGCAGGTAAGTCTCTGGTCGTTTGCAGGTCAACTGCATTCTTCTCAGTCTTCACGAGATGTCCATTGAAACTCGAACTATTATCATCATCACACTGAATCAGCCACTCACTCACTCTCTGAATCAATCATACACTCACACATTCCATCACTGCCTCAATTAGTCTCTCCACAAGACTATGTCTCATTCACTAACTCACTCACTCAATCACTCACTCTCTCAGTCATTCACTCGCTCACTCACTCACGTTTTCCATGAAATATCAATCGACAAATTCTTCAGTCTGTTATACACTCAAAATCATTATGACTCTCTCAGTGACGATATATGACGAAGATAATTTCGTCAATAATTTCATCTCCACTTCATGCAGCGAATATTGGTTAGGTGAAGTGTGTTGTATTTTAGGGCATATTGTAGTGTTGCAATGAACGGTAATATATTATTGTGCAGTGCAGTGCAGTATAGTGTAGTGTATTGTTGTGTATTGTGGTATATTTCAGTGCAGTTCGCTTTGTTTTGTATAGCGTAGCGTGGTATATTGTGGCGATGTGTGGTGTATGTTAGAGTATTGTGTTGCAGCTTGTAGTTTTGATGCTTTGAGGAGTGTTGTTGAGTTGAGGATGAAGTGCGTTATTATTCGAATTTTATTTGCTTGTTTGAGAAAGACTGACGCGAATCCCGTGTAATCAAATATCTGTGTGTGTGTTGATTTCAGAGGGTGACAACGAGGAACATGACGCAGGTAAGTCTCTGGTCGTTTGCAGGTCAACTGCATTCTTCTCAGTCTTCACGAGATGTCCATTGAAACTCGAACTATTATCATCATCACACTGAATCAGCCACTCACTCACTCTCTGAATCAATCATACACTCACACATTCCATCACTGCCTCAATTAGTCTCTCCACAAGACTATGTCTCATTCACTAACTCACTCACTCAATCACTCAATCACTCACTCTCTCAGTCATTCACTCGCTCACTCACTCACGTTTTCCATGAAAAATCAATCGACAAATTCTTCAGTCTGTTATACACTCAAAATCATTATGACTCTCTCAGTGACGATATATGACGAAGATAATTTCGTCAATAATTTCATCTCCACTTCATGCAGCGAATATTGGTTAGGTGAAGTGTTTTGTATTTTAGGGTGTATTGTAGTGTTGCAATGAACGGTAATATATTATTGTGCAGTGCAGTGCAGTATAGTGTAGTGTAGTGTATTGTTGTGTATTGTGGTATATTTCAGTGCAGTTCGCTTTGTTTTGTATAGCGTAGCGTGGTATATTGTGGCGATGTGTGGTGTATGTTAGAGTATTGTGTTGCAGCTTGTAGTTTTGATGCTTTGAGGAGTGTTGTTGAGTTGAGGATGAAGTGCGTTATTATTCGAATTTTATTTGCTTGTTTGAGAAAGACTGACGCGAATCCCGTGTAATCAAATATCTGTGTGTGTGTTGATTTCAGAGGGTGACAACGAGGAACATGACGCAGGTAAGTCTCTGGTCGTTTGCAGGTCAACTGCATTCTTCTCAGTCTTCACGAGATGTCCATTGAAACTCGAACTATTATCATCATCACACTGAATCAGCCACTCACTCACTCTCTGAATCAATCATACACTCACACATTCCATCACTGCCTCAATTAGTCTCTCCACAAGACTATGTCTCATTCACTAACTCACTCACTCAATCACTCAATCACTCACTCTCTCAGTCATTCACTCGCTCACTCACTCACGTTTTCCATGAAATATCAATCGACAAATTCTTCAGTCTGTTATACACTCAAAATCATTATGACTCTCTCAGTGACGATATTTGACGAAGATAATTTCGTCAATAATTTCATCTCCACTTCATGCAGCGAATATTGGTTAGGTGAAGTGTTTTGTATTTTAGGGTGTATTGTAGTGTTGCAATGAACGGTAATATATTATTGTGCAGTGCAGTGCAGTATAGTGTAGTGTAGTGTATTGTTGTGTATTGTGGTATATTTCAGTGCAGTTCGCTTTGTTTTGTATAGCGTAGCGTGGTATATTGTGGCGATGTGTGGTGTATGTTAGAGTATTGTGTTGCAGCTTGTAGTTTTGATGCTTTGAGGAGTGTTGTTGAGTTGAGGATGAAGTGCGTTATTATTCGAATTTTATTTGCTTGTTTGAGAAAGACTGACGCGAATCCCGTGTAATCAAATATCTGTGTGTGTGTTGATTTCAGAGGGTGACAACGAGGAACATGACGCAGGTAAGTCTCTGGTCGTTTGCAGGTCAACTGCATACTTCTCAGTCTTCACGAGATGTCCATTGAAACTCGAACTATTATCATCATCACACTGAATCAGCCACTCACTCACTCTCTGAATCAATCATACACTCACACATTCCATCACTGCCTCAATTAGTCTCTCCACAAGACTATGTCTCATTCACTAACTCACTCACTCAATCACTCAATCACTCACTCTCTCAGTCATTCACTCGCTCACTCACTCACGTTTTCCATGAAATATCAATCGACAAATTCTTCAGTCTGTTATACACTCAAAATCATTATGACTCTCTCAGTGACGATATATGACGAAGATAATTTCGTCAATAATTTCATCTCCACTTCATGCAGCGAATATTGGTTAGGTGAAGTGTGTTGTATTTTAGGGTGTATTGTAGTGTTGCAATGAACGGTAATATATTATTGTGCAGTGCAGTGCAGTATAGTGTAGTGTATTGTTGTGTATTGTGGTATATTTCAGTGCAGTTCACTTTGTTTTTATATAGCTTAGCGTGGTATATTATGGCGATGTGTGGTGTATGTTAGTGTATTTTGATGTAGATTGTCGTGGTGATGATATGTTGAGCAGTGTATTTCAGTTGAGGATGAATTTCAGTATGATTCAATTCGTAGTCGCTGGTTACAGAAGAACTGACTCGAATCCCATGTAATCAAATATCTGTGTGTGTGTTGATTTCAGAGGGTGACAACGAGGAACATGACGCAGGTAAGTCTCTGGTCGTTTGCAGGTCAACTGCATTCTTCTCAGTCTTCACGAGATGTCCATTGAAACTCGAACTATTATCATCATCACACTGAATCAGCCACTCACTCACTCTCTGAATCAATCATACACTCACACATTCCATCACTGCCTCAATTAGTCTCTCCACAAGACTATGTCTCATTCACTAACTCACTCACTCAATCACTCAATCACTCACTCTCTCAGTCATTCACTCGCTCACTCACTCACGTTTTCCATGAAATATCAATCGACAAATTCTTCAGTCTGTTATACACTCAAAATCATTATGACTCTCTCAGTGACGATATATGACGAAGATAATTTCGTCAATAATTTCATCTCCACTTCATGCAGCGAATATTGGTTAGGTGAAGTGTTTTGTATTTTAGGGTGTATTGTAGTGTTGCAATGAACGGTAATATATTATTGTGCAGTGCAGTGCAGTATAGTGTAGTGTATTGTTGTGTATTGTGGTATATTTCAGTGCAGTTCGCTTTGTTTTGTATAGCGTAGCGTGGTATATTGTGGCGATGTGTGGTGTATGTTAGAGTATTGTGTTGCAGCTTGTAGTTTTGATGCTTTGAGGAGTGTTGTTGAGTTGAGGATGAAGTGCGTTATTATTCGAATTTTATTTGCTTGTTTGAGAAAGACTGACGCGAATCCCGTGTAATCAAATATCTGTGTGTGTGTTGATTTCAGAGGGTGACAACGAGGAACATGACGCAGGTAAGTCTCTGGTCGTTTGCAGGTCAACTGCATTCTTCTCAGTCTTCACGAGATGTCCATTGAAACTCGAACTATTATCATCATCACACTGAATCAGCCACTCACTCACTCTCTGAATCAATCATACACTCACACATTCCATCACTGCCTCAATTAGTCTCTCCACAAGACTATGTCTCATTCACTAACTCACTCACTCAATCACTCAATCACTCACTCTCTCAGTCATTCACTCGCTCACTCACTCACGTTTTCCATGAAATATCAATCGACAAATTCTTCAGTCTGTTATACACTCAAAATCATTATGACTCTCTCAGTGACGATATATGACGAAGATAATTTCGTCAATAATTTCATCTCCACTTCATGCAGCGAATATTGGTTAGGTGAAGTGTTTTGTATTTTAGGGTGTATTGTAGTGTTGCAATGAACGGTAATATATTATTGTGCAGTGCAGTGCAGTATAGTGTAGTGTATTGTTGTGTATTGTGGTATATTTCAGTGCAGTTCGCTTTGTTTTGTATAGCGTAGCGTGGTATATTGTGGCGATGTGTGGTGTATGTTAGAGTATTGTGTTGCAGCTTGTAGTTTTGATGCTTTGAGGAGTGTTGTTGAGTTGAGGATGAAGTGCGTTATTATTCGAATTTTATTTGCTTGTTTGAGAAAGACTGACGCGAATCCCGTGTAATCAAATATCTGTGTGTGTGTTGATTTCAGAGGGTGACAACGAGGAACATGACGCAGGTAAGTCTCTGGTCGTTTGCAGGTCAACTGCATTCTTCTCAGTCTTCACGAGATGTCCATTGAAACTCGAACTATTATCATCATCACACTGAATCAGCCACTCACTCACTCTCTGAATCAATCATACACTCACACATTCCATCACTGCCTCAATTAGTCTCTCCACAAGACTATGTCTCATTCACTAACTCACTCACTCAATCACTCAATCACTCACTCTCTCAGTCATTCACTCGCTCACTCACTCACGTTTTCCATGAAATATCAATCGACAAATTCTTCAGTCTGTTATACACTCAAAATCATTATGACTCTCTCAGTGACGATATATGACGAAGATAATTTCGTCAATAGTTTCATCTCCTCTTTATTCGGCGAATATTGGTTAGGTGAAGTGTGTTGTATTTTAGGGTGTATTGTAGTGTTGCAATGAACGGTAATATATTATTGTGCAGTGCAGTGCAGTATAGTGTAGTGTAGTGTATTGTTGTGTATTGTGGTATATTTCAGTGCAGTTCGCTTTGTTTTGTATAGCGTAGCGTGGTATATTGTGGCGATGTGTGGTGTATGTTAGTATATTTTGATGTAGATTGTCGTGGTGATGATATGTTGAGCAGTGTATTTCAGTTGAGGATGAATTTCAGTATGATTCAATTCGTAGTCGCTGGTTACAGAAGAACTGACTCGAATCCCATGTAATCAAATATCTGTGTGTGTGTTGATTTCAGATGAAGGCAACGAGAACTTTTGCTTATATATGTGTGTTTTATCTAGATTTCGTTGATTACCCTGGATTTTTTGTGCGCTTCTGTATTTTTCGAGTTGTCTCTCTTTGCCCTCATTTTTAGTTCTCGTTTTTGACATTCACTTTTCGTTTCGTGTTTTTTGATGTTTATATGGATCATTTTCTATATTCATGGACTTATTCATATATCCTCTTTTCTGATCTTCTTTGACTGATTCGTTCTTCTCATTGGGAATGAGAGATTCTATTTATCTTATAAAATTCAGTTTTCAGTCATTATTTGTATGTATTCCGAATTTGGATTTATTTTGGTGTGATTATTCATTTAATGGTTGTTATCATGGAGATGCATGAGTTGTTTAATACTGAGTTTAATTGTCTGTTGGTTTTGTCGGGGTCTACTTACCAGTAGAGAGTTTATTGGAAATGGAAATTTTGAAGCTGAATTGGAGAAATGCACACACACCAATTCTGAAAATTCGATAAGACTTACTTCGTCACCTCCATTCATCGCTTTTGTTCATGTGACTCACTCTCTCTCTCTGTGCACAATGTTATCTCCAGCTGACTTACTCGCTGGGTCAATGGATGGCTATTAATGAAAACTGTCTCATCGGTTGGATGCTGACGACTTCTTATACACTGTCTGCTTTCGACACACTTCATGGTGAGAACTGGTGACCAGCCATCACTGGAAACAACACTCACCACTTGTGTCTCACACTTGCATCCAAACCTGCCATCATCCAGCCACCAATTCCACCTTATTGTATGGCACACGCACAGGCACACACACACTTACCAACCCATCAACACTTTTACTCTCTTATTTTCTGTTTGCATTTCTCTTCGCTAGAGCTCTCTTGTTGGCATGAAGTTGCTGGCTAACATTTATTAGGTCAGCAGATTCGATGTACCTCTCGTGTTTTTGCATTTCTTTCCCTTCTGTCATGTTTTCTGGCCTGTGGATATTTTTATCGCTTCTCTCCTCGTATTGAGGTGTCGACTAATTTTCGTCGTCGATTTTCATTGCGACTAGCATTTGTCGATTGATATATTTTTTCTACACAAAGTACATGATTCTCAGTGTAACTCATTGCATGTTATCTCTTACTCATCGAGTATCTCTTACTACATCCCAGTCTGTTTTATAGCACTTCACACAATCCTGTTACATCTGAAGCATAGACTAATTCCTTGAGATATATTTTACTTCGAGTTGGGAAGTCAAATGATGAAAATATGCCTGAGTGCCTTTGGCGACTGGAGGACATAAGTGATTAGTTAAGACAATAAGAATTAGAGAAAGTAAGATGCATTGTGTTGCGTGGAATTTCAGCCAGACCAGTGATTTTCATGCAGGCCACCACGTTTGGTGTTCATCATTCACGTTGATCCGTGTGCATTTTTCTTCTTACACTTACTAGTGTTCTCAATCAGTGCTACTTCTGAATAGTTGTGATCGCCTGTGATTGTTTTTTTTCTAAAAACAGTAATCACTTGAATCTCATCTGAGTCATTGTCTTCCATTTTATTTTCAGATGGTGCGGCCAAGTTTATTGCGGACTGTAAGAGTTTATTTTGTGTTTGTGTTACATTGATCTTCCCTTCTATGCAGTTGTCACTTTGCTGACAGACTAACAATAGTTGTTTGAGATGGTTTTGTGGAATACCCTCTTTTATGCTTTAATAAAGGATATTCCATCCTGAATGATAGAGTGGGTGGTTAGCTTCACTTCTGCTCATCAGATTTTCCATCTGCTGGTAGAATTTCCAGCATGATTTTCTTTCTATCTGTTGTCCAGTTTTCGTTCGAAGCGACCTGTCACAACGTTTTAAAGGGGTGTGCCTCACCTTCCACTACCAGCAGTAATAGGCCTCAGCTTTCAGTTGCCACCGGTGGTAGACCTTCTGAATTTATGTGGATAATCATTGTAAAGACATTAATAATGTATTCAACTGGTTGTCTGTTGCAAATGTAAGGCCTTAAATTCCGTCAAACTGTAGCAAACCTTGTTACCATAGATGCATACTAGAAATCATTCATTCTTGGAGAGATTTTCATCGAAACTCAAAACACCAGCATTGTATTGTTGAAGGATCAATGACGCCATGATTATTTTCAGTGGAGTAGGCATCTCCTGACAAAGTTGAGTGAGCGAGAGCAGTTTTTACTTCGAAGCAGTCACATTCATTGTGAGTTGAGTAGAACTTTTGATCAGGGAGATTTTCGTTGTTAGTTTGTGGACTTCAGGATTTGGTATATCACTTCTTCAGCAAGAAGCAAATATTCCGCATTCTAATTTTTGATTGAATGTTTGACCTGATCAGTTATGAAGAGTTAATTAAATCGCTCGAGGGAAATTTTTCTTTCTCTATTTCAGATGATCCGAATTTAACACTAGACGCATACGCCGAATCATACAGTCAAATTTTGAAGGATAAATGTATGTGTTTATTTTACCGAAAATCATTTTATGGTTGTCTCTTGACTTTAGACTGTTCTGTGACAATTGGTGTTCACTTCCCACCTAGCACTCATATTAGTTGCCTTGATTCGTGGACGGCTAATCAACAAATTCAATCACTGACAATACTGAGTAGCTTTGAAAACTCTCTTTTGCATCTGCGCGTCTCCATGGAGATTGGAGGAGATGTATTTCTCATGTCAGAGGATGTATGTAATATTGCCTGATTGGAATAACTTGCAATTCATTATTGTAAAGTAGAGCAGGAAACTGGTGCTTCGACATGCGTGACAGTGCTTCATCTAGTTCAGGAAGCTTGATAATGTCGGTGGCACAGCGGCTAGGACGTTCGCCGACCATGGTCCGGGGTTCGATCCCCGGACGGCACACTCCTTTACCTCGTTAAGCCAGAAATAAAGTTGGTAAAGAGGAAAGGTTGGGCATGAGGCTAGCAACCCCATCCTGTAAAAATGAACACTGCTACAGAATCTTCAAGCCTCTAGCTTGAAGCCCTATGTTCCATTGGGAACATGAAGGAATAAAAAAAATGGGGACATCACAGATTGAGATGAGTCGAATAGGAGTTTCAAAGTGGTGTTGATGGGGCTGAATGACCTAAACACTTGGTACTAGTGACCAACAGACTGTGCGAGAAATATTTACATTTGTGTGGAAATGCACCAATAATGCACGGAGGACAGTCAATCTCCATTGACGATTAGATACACAGACACGGAAAGACTGATTTCGTGTAACCTACAGGTTTTCATTTAGCCCATAAGAATTTTCAGTCAAGCATTAAATAATCCACGTACCTTACACTGATTTCCACCCGCTTGTTTGTTTTAGTTTTCATAATCGAACTTGAGACATACGTAGATCCTCAGAATGCGGAGGAAGCAATAAAACGTGGTGAGTAATTTTATCAAGATCTCTGCATGACTGCATATAAGTATCAGCCATAGATATATGGTCAGGTATATTTCCATTCAATAGATGATGTTATATTTCGTGCATTTCGTAGACATGAATTATTCTCATGAATCAAAGATGTACACTTGTGAAACCTTTTAGAATGACCAACTATCTCATTTGTTCGTCATCATGTGTCGAAGATCGAAGTTACCTTCTGGTCTACACATGATAACGTCCATCGCACCAGAACAAAACTGAGTGATTCAAATGGTTGGAAGAACGCCTGTCTAGGGTGTGGTACGAAGCATTTTGCATCAACAGGGACCCACTCACTTTCCTTTCCTTACTGCTGCGTGAACTGTCATTGTTGTTTGTTGATGTGAAGCACATCACTGAAACACATGAACTCCTCTGTGGATGCAGTGGAAGTTTACTGCGTAGGAATACTGGTGGGAGCGATTGCAGGTGGTAAAATGGTATGAGACTCAGTGTTGTGTGCTGCTCGCTTCGCTGCTCTCAGCATCTTTATTCACATTATTAATTTTATTGTTGTTATTGGCCTGAGTTCCCAGTGGAACACAGGAGGTCAACTGCATGCACATCTTCATACCATTCTGTTCTCTGCAGTCTTTTGTAGATGGCTCCTTAACTACGCATACGTCTCTATCTCCTGCTCACACAATCTCCATCATGTCTCCATCCAACCACTGTTCACCTCTTCACTTCCTACTCAGCTTCCACTGAACACACTGGTGTGGGATATCCGTCAACGGTCTGCCCGTGTCATATACAATCCACCTTCATTTCCATTGTAATATTTGTTGGACAGTAGGTTCATGATTGGTTTGTCGCCAGATTTCCTCATTACTAACAGTTTCCAGCCATCTTGTGTTCAGTACCGGGAAGTCAAAATCAGGTGTTGACGAAGGTCTGCAGCAGCGTGTTGTGAGTGCTTCTTGTCAACATGATAAGCATCTGAATCTTGTAGAAGCATTGATTTGACGTCAGTGTTGAAGATATGGATCTCGTTCCTTGTACTGGCTGGAATAAACTCATCTACTGACATGAAAGCAGTGAAATTCTGCCTTCTTCCAATCTCAGCTAACCGTGATATCCTCACTCTTAACGCCACGTGTAGTTGAGACGATGATGCCTGGATAAGTAGACGAAGCGACTTCCTCACCATTTCTGACGTTGATGTTGGTTGGCGCTTGTTATTCTTGTTGTCGGTTGGTTGGTTGGTTGGTTATTTGTTCTCATCATGTACATTTTCCTTATGCTCACTTGAGGAAGTGTCTTCGCTGACTGCTTCTCCTGCCAACATGTTCGTATCCAGTCGACCACAACCAGGAATATCATCGGTGATAGTAGGCAGGCTTATCTTTCACTTGTCTTCACTTCAAACTCTTTGCTGAGTTCTCCTCTGTGGACCATGTTGCATGTGCAGTATTCACATTTCTGTTCAGGGCACTTCACTCCTAAGTTTCCATCATGACAGTGTTGCCGAAGGCCTTTTCAAATTTGAGGAATTTGATGAAGATATTAATTTAAAATCCTGTGATCTCTTCGATGATGAGGCATAGCGTCGAGATTTGATCTGCACATAAGTTGCTTTTCTTCAATCCAGCTTGTTCCTGGGACAGTTTTGCATTCAAAGAATCACTTAGTCTCTCTAGGATGACACGGCCTAAAATTTAGCTTGGATTTGGCATGAGCGAGATTGCCATCTAGTCCTTGTAGAGGCTGAGGTCGCCCTTCTTTCATAGTTTGACAAAGTAGCCTATCCTTCTGAGTGGCGTGTGACATTCCTTCATTTTGAACCTTATGCACCAGTGGATTGCGTATATCAGATGAGGTACTTCTGAAGGAACTCCATCCGGTTCTGTCGCCCCCTTCCGATTTCCAGTAACTTCATAGTATTCGAAACGTTTGCTTTTGTTGGATGATTGGTGTTCGCTGTGAGTACTGTGCCTGCTATTGATGGTATTTCTGGACGATTTGCAGGTGGTGGTCTTTTTGGGAGTCAACGATGTTTCTTCCCTTCACTAACAAGCTTCGCTTCACCATGCATCATTTGTTTCATCCATGTTGATCTCTTCTAGGATACTGACGTGTTGAACTGATATAGTGTTGCGGAGTCTCGCTCCCCTGCGACCTATTCTGCTTCGGTTGCCAATATGTTGTGTCTGATCCGCATCTCTATTTTGTGTCCAGCAGGCTGCGTTATCACATTCCTGAGATGGAGATGAAGCTAATCTGAAATTTGGTGTGTCCATCTGATGAAACCTGTATCACTCTGTGCATGTTATATCGCCACCTGTACTCGAAAACTGAGTGAAAGCACTGAAGTATGTGGAGAGTTCACCGTCCTCATGCTTTTCATTGACAGCCCCTAGACATACCATAGGTCACCTTCTCGTCTCGCTTCCTCCCTTTTTCGTATTGTGACTTTGCTATTTGAGGTCGTGTACACTATTCATTGAAGCTGTGTTTAGAATTCTCCCCTCTCCTCTTGGTCCACTTCGCTTGTAGTAGCGCATCACTGGAATCAAGTTAGTTTGAATTGTGTGTGTGTTGCGTGCGTGTGAGTGGATAAATCCAAATTTGAAATGAACTTCAGAATGAGCAAACAATTTGGATGGTCACCGTCGGAAGAAAGTGAGAGACTGAAATGTTACCACCGTCTGAAGAGGGAAATCATGGCACCCAGATATTGCTGAGAGACAATACATAATGCATCATGATTACGAAAATGACATTGAAGAAATCACACAGGTGAATAAATCCGCAGTTCCGTGTTTTGTTTCGAACACAAAAGTTGAAGTGAATCACTGGAAAATGAATAAACGAAGAATTAGGTCTATGAGTAGAACGATATTTGAATTTATGAATTGTAAGATGGATATGCGCTGGTTAACAAAACTCTTGGTGCATTCTTCTCAACCTCATATATTCTAGCGCCTACTTCTCCAGTAACTCAAACAGTAGTCAGCCTTTCCATGCTTAGCGTATTCCCTGAATAGTACTTTGATTTAATAATTATTCTACCATCGTCAATTACCCGATAGTCAAACACGTAAGACGTTTGTCATCCAGAGGTGTTAAACGACTGACCATAGCTAGGAAGTTTCATCTACTGGTGATTTTGAACGTGAATAAAGTAGTAATAAATTGACAAACATAAGTGAGTTGCTGACTGTTCAGGGTTGCTCACGGTGCAAAATGCAGGGCTAGTGAACAACTAGAAAGCGTTTTGTTGACTTGAACCAAGGAGAATTCAGAATAACAAAGATGTGTGGCAAATGGAAAATTAGAAGCATATATATACAAAATCATATCGCCAGTCAAAATTCTCTCAACAAATAACCCGCTTCAACCGATATTACTGTATGCACTCATTTTGTGTTTTTCCAATTCATTCAGAAATCCTCAGACTTGAACACTTGTATCAAAGTAAATGGGCAAAGGAATTTCTCGAGTGTAAGTTCTGTCGTACATGCTCTTGATTCTGTGTTGTTCATGAATGGAAATGTGTGTTGAATAAATGCCTAAATCTTCACTGCAGTAAAACATAGTGGATAGTGAACTGGAATGCATTGCAGTGTCATTTCAGATGACCAAGGAATTCAGTCGCTCCACAAAGAAATCATCAAAAGTATTATTTCAGAGAGGCATCTGTAGGTTTCAATAGCACAGAAATTTATCTCACCAAATATTCATTAAAGTTTTATGGAGAAACCTCGAGATGAGTCAATGTACTTCATATACTCACTTTGCAAAGTACTCCAGTAGACGTCTTTCCAATACGCATAGCATTAAGTACTGCGTCCTAACATAAACTGTGACTGCCTACATTAGGCCATGTGTAGAATGAATACCGTTGATTCACCTCCCAATATTCTTTCCAATACAGAAACAGTATATTCTGACCGACAAGACATTTAACGCATCCAACAAGTCATCATTCAGGTAAATTTGAAAACAAACAGCTTCTGTGCTATACTTTTCATATCTCATGAACGATCAGTCTGCATTTCACATCTTTTCTCACTGTCTCCTTCCTATCATATTTCTAAGATCAAGTAAATAATTTCCCGAAATTGTCTACACTTTTACAGCCATTGGTTCAACAGATAAGAACCTCGTGAATTTCTATACCGGTAGGTTATTTCATCCTAAAATAATAATAACCACAGTGCATGTGACAAAATCATTTGAGATCTGAAGAAAACGCTCACCTCATTACTCTTTATGCAAAAATCGTCGGTGCGTCGGTGGAATAGCGGTTAGGACGCTCACCGACCATGCACATGTTCCGGGGTTCGATCCCCGGCCATAGATGCACTCCTTTACCTCGCTAAGCCAGAAATAATGCTGGTGAACAGGAAAGGTTGAGCATGAGGCTAGCAACCTCATCCTGTAAAATAAACACCACTGCTACAGAAACATCAAGCCATTACCTTGAAGCCCTATGTTCCATTGGGGAACGTCAAGGAAAAGAAACAATCATTAGCTTACAATCGCTTTGTGTGACAGATGTCACCGGAGATGTTGACAATTATATTTATTTGACAGCGCTAACAAGTGAAGTCGTTATTGTTAGGCTGTACGAATGCAATCTAATCCGCTGAGTGCAGCACTGTCAAACTTATCATCAATTCAATCATGAGTGCCATGGTATTCAGTAGTAAAACAGTTTCCTCTGTTATCCACTTTCTCGACAATGTCCTCTTCAATATTATCTTCTTCAATACATACATGACACAATGAAACAGAGTGTAACACTGATAACATTCCGAATATAATTTTCATCCATAAATATCTCAAGTTCATTTATACGACTTGAAAACTTCGATTAAGTACTTCTAGTTTATTTCATACAATATCGAATGGTTTAATAAATCCACCGTTGTTCAGTTACGTTGTGAAATTACTACTGTTATTCGTTCTGTGCCTTGCTGTGTGAGATATGGAGCTGCTCACTCCCTACGATCTGTCAAGTGGTTCACTTTAGAATAATACTATGGGAATAGAGTGGGTGGTAGTAGACGGCCTCGTCTTAACTTCAAGTGATTCAGTGAATTTTCTGATGTGAGGTATTTCGCATGTGGCAGCATTATATGCCTGTTGAATGAGATGTATCCAGGTATGTGTCACTCAGAAGTGTTGGCAAAGCAAACGAATTACTTCACAGTCGACGCTGTCAAGAGTCTCTCTAAAGTTGGTGAGGATGAGATAGAGGGTTGACTGCCATCATGGCCTCTGTTTGATGATGACTGGCAGTTGTGCAATCCTATCCATGCAGGATTTGTCCTCACTCAACCCGAACCGATTCGGTTGACAACATTCATCGTGGATATCTGTTGACAGTGATGTACCTTACTCCTTTATTTAGAAATGAATTTCACAAGATAACGAAGATTTAATACTCTTTGAAATGTCATCTGTTCATCAATGAACTTAATTCACACTTTCATGCTCTCACAGTGTACAAATACACACTGCAGATTGTTGGCTATTCGGGAAATTAAATATGCACCAAACGATACTTCCTTTCTTTGCAGATGAATACAAGAAGGCATTGGAAGAAGACAAGGCTTCTGAGTACAAACTTCATGGTATGATTGATTTTTCTTAACTGGAAGTTGTAATACACTACTTAATCTGAAATTCACTGGTCCATTGAAATTAAGTGACCAGTTCTGTGGAGAATGTACACAACATTTTGAACTGGTGTGTTTTGTGTGAAGTCACCTTTTCAATCTATGATCATGCTTGCTTTCCAACTATATCAATCACACTTCTCTGGCAAAATATTTTCGAGAGAAATTCCGTGAGGTTAAATCAGATAATCTTTGAGACATTTCTCTCCGAAGTAGACCGCCATCTCATTTGTTCCTTGTTTGGATTTGTTGCTAAGATCCACTGTCATGACGAATAACATTCCAACGGTACTCAGAGGATTTCCAGTTTCTTTGTTCATTGATTGATGACGTTACCATTTCCACCGGTAATAATCCTTATAGTTTGTAGTATATATGATTATATTGCTTCCTACTATTGCACAGAAAACTGATCACTTTCACAATGCCTTATCCACGACTGAGCTGGATTCATTGGTTGGTACTTGGCAATATGATGAAATTTATCGGGTGCCTAAGACTGAGTCATGCTAAGACATCCAGATAGACTGGCACTGTTATCATGTTGGAGGAACATCCCACAACTCAGCTAGTCATGTAGCCTACATCTTACAATTACACCTAATGAATTCTTATTTATTCCCTCAGCTCATCCGAAATCATTCGATCGAGTGAAAACGCATATTTCAAGTAAATGGGAAAATCGAAAAAATCTCGATATTGCTGAAGGTAATCTTTTTATGATTGCATTATGTAGAAAAGCAGTCGGTTGTTTGATACTTCGTAAGAAAGTGGATATTCTTCTTCTGTAATTAGGCGAAGTGCGTAAAGCCACAGAAAACTTCTCATTTTTACACAATATTTAACACAACACATCGAAACGTGGACGTTTCCTCTTGAACATCACACCGACGAGTATGAATTCTGACTAGGCGAGAAATAAAAAACGCGATACATCGCTTACTGACAGTCCTAAACTGAATCCTGCATGAATTGTTGGTGTTGCAGGAGAAAACAGCACTGTGTAGGAGTGTTCTGCAGATTTCAGTAGCTGCTCTCACTAATTCATGTTCATCATTGTGTGTACTTCGAGGCCTCTTGAATTTCAGTGAATTTCTCGTCAGCATTGATATTCACATTTGATATCTACAAGCTGCCGCGCTATCCAAATAACAGACAGCAGTTCAGACAGTAAGCGATAGTAGGCAAACATCATACATGTATTCACTTCGTCATATTTTGTCATTAGAATCAGTTGATATGGAGGGGACAGAACACGCACTCGATGGTCTAACAGCATATTCTAATAAAGCTTTATACTAAGTGTGCAAGTTAACTGTGGCTGTGTCCTTTGAATTGACGTCAGTTGAATGCATCTTTAAATAAATTGATTGTGATGATATTGGATTCATTGTATACCTGGAAGTTGAATGACAGTGTGATGTATCAATTGTAGGTAAATTTTTCGCGGAGGCATCAGGAAATTTGAAGAAAGACAAAGGTTGGTTTTCTTTCACTTTGAAATTCATCATTATAACTTGTGGGATGTGCCGAAATATTCTTCTTGACTTTGTGAATAGTAGTTTCCCCCTGATGTCATTAATGAGGTGATAACTGTTCATAATAAAGCATATTTAATTGTCCTTCAATGACAATCAGAAACAGCATCTAGATGATGCATCGACTCAATTCTCGAGTTGTTTGAATATGTGGGACAGCTGTTTCCACGCATCCGAACACTTCGGTTATTGCCCCAATTCATTGGGCATCAGCATTTCAGCACTAACACTAACATCACTCACCCACATCACAATATAGAACTCTAGGTAGGTGGATTTCGATCGGAACTCTATTCACTGAGAAATCATCTTGATAAGCGATACGTGATTCAAATTGCCACAGTCAACAATGGTGTTCACACTTTCTCACCAACAGGCTCGAAGTGGATTAACTGGTTTGATTATTATTGAGTGCGAAATGTGTGTATGTGTGTGTGTGCGTGTGTGCGCGCGCGCGATAACATCCATGCCTCACATACTGTGGTTTACCCAGAAATAATGGACAGAAACACATTCACGCAATGAATTATCAGCCCATAACATGCAATCACTCCTCAGAATGTTACATGCCCTTATAGATGCAACATGTAACATGAGAAACAATTGACGCAACTAATCAATAATTCAATGATTTGAAAAATTATTCTCAACAGTTTACTATATTAATAATAATAATAATTTGCTTTATTCCAAAACAGTACTTGTGATACAGAATGGAATTCTTAGCATTTTTACTACAGTATTGTATCCAGTTAGTACATTATCAATAAATAGAATTCTACATAGATTAAGGAAACCACAGCTCATTATTACAACAATACATTGGCATGTCAGTAGCAAAGGTAAAGCTGAACAGTGTTTGAAGGTGTTAGAAAAGTGGGAGCTGTCTTATTAACAGGCGTAAGCGAGAGAAAGAGACAAAGCAGCACATAACGGAAAAAGAAGAGAGAGAAAAGGAACAGAAAGAAAGAAAATGTTGTACCTGTTGATGATGTGGGTTGGAAAGACGAGATCCAGTTGTACTACTGACTATTGAATGAATTATAGGTGTCACGACTAATGCTTTCTTTATCACACAGAACACGAGCTAAGTAGGGTATGGTTGAGTTTTTGTACTTGCTGGTGCTAGCATATAGTTTTCTATATAGGCTTCTGGTTTTTTTGCCTGATGAGATACAAGGGGAGAGTTGTGAGTGAAGAGGGTGGTGTGAGTTAGATAAAATGGATTTGGCCCATTTTTCACATGAGTCCATGTGCCTGTTGACCAGAATATTAACAA